CGAACTTTTGAACATATCCGTATCATATAAAAAACAATGGGAAATACTAAATCCGAACTAGATCTATTGAAACAAGAAACGCCAGGCTTTTGATCAGAATTGCAGAATTGGAACAAACTGTGAAAGAGAAAGATGAGCTTATGGCTAGAATTGTGGAATTGGAGCAATATAAATCAGATACCGTGAATCTTAAAACTGAGAATATTGAGCTTAGAAATAGAATTGCAAAATTGGAACAAAAACAGTTACAAGATATTAAATCTTTGGTCAATACTGCTCCTACCGAAATAGTAAATTCAAACGATACCCCTGCATCTGAAATAACTATAGATGCAGACTTATTTACGTCATTAGTTACGGCTCAATTGCGTTTTATATATTTTATAAACCGATTTTTATATAGGACATAACTAGATGATGTCATAAGTCTGCATCTATAGAAATAACCAATGTCACATCAAATTCTGATGACACCTCTGAACATGAGGAGGTCTTGCAAAAATAAGGATGCTCCAGCATCTGATGTATCCGTGAGGATGCTATCGCATCTGAACCCAATAATGTTTCAAATCCTGATGTATCTGGTAACGTTCAAATGCTGATGTGCATCAGGAGTCTTCATCTCAACCGGAGGTTGGTTCATCGGAGACTCTAAAATTTCCAAATCCATGTTCTTACAACATAGGCACTTTGTTGAAAGAAGTGAAGAATATCGAATCAAATTTTATACTAATCCGAGGTAAGCAAAACATCCAGAAATGAGCAAATGAAAACACCTAATAACGACAAATTAAGAATAACTATGATTGGTAAAATTTCTTTTGATTTTTTTTTTTTTTTTTACAAAATGAGTTAGAGCTTGGATCCGGTCATCCGTTTTCATATTAAATTTAACGGATATCCGACGGATTTTACTATTAAATTTGCATCCAACGGATAACCGGATCCAAGCTCTAAATTGAGGGTTGCTAAAAGAAAACATACACATTTAAATATAGCCTACATATAAATGTGTATGTTTTCTTTTGGCGACACTCAAATACTGACTATATATAATATCTAAACTACAATTGATACGATTCGGACGATATTACTAAAACCGGTCAAATTTTTCGGTCGTACTTTTCCAAGTTGAAAATTAATAATAAATTGCATTCGGAATTATAGTTTTATATTTATGTGTCACTTTTATTTGACTTCTCGCCTAGTTTATCATCAATAATCATGAATTATTACAATAATGAATAGAAATCTGATTTTAATCGGCATTCACATAGACGACTTTGGTAGTTATGTTAGGATGGTTCGAATTTCACCTGCGCAATGAATAGACTTCAGCCGCAATTTCGGTTAATTCTTCCGGTGAATAAAAGTCATCTTCAGTAAAATTCATTATAGAATTCTGGGAGATTTTTTCCGCGGACGAAACAGTCGTAGTTTCAACCTCCTCTTTTAGTGCACCTAGATTAGCTAATCGATCAGCTGCTTCATTACCTGGAATTCCAACATGTCCCGGAACATGCGTCTTTAAAACAACCATACTAATTATTTTGTTGAAATATATAAATTGCGCATGCATTTAAACTCCAAAATGATAAAGTATAATTACGAAAAAGACTTTTCCAGGTCTTGCTTCAATTAATTCTACCAAACGGACAAATAAGTCTTGATTCTCCACCGGTTTGTTATTCGCTGTTTTCCATCCACTTTTAATCCATTTAGGTATCCATGATTCATATGCTAAAAGAAAATAAATTAATTTGTATTGTATGAAGATATAATCAAGGAAGTGTTACCATTTATAGTATATTTGCTATCTGTCATTATTTCCAATGGGAGTTCGGGATCAAGACAAGTTTCTAAGGCTCTAATGACGGCCTAGAAAAAACGTAATGTTTGTAAGCATAATATTCAAAATATTATTTTAAAAAAACAAACGTATATATTTTACCATTATTTCTGCTCGGTTATTTGTTTGTTTATAACCTGGTAATCGTTCTGATAGATTTCTGATATACGAATATTGATGTCATTAAAAAATATTTCATACAAAAATTATAAAGAATTTATCAGCTCCGAATTACATCCAACATCATTTAATTATAAATAATTAAATATATCCAAAACAATTATACACCTTGTATCATTATCACCCCAAAATACGCCTAAACCTGCACGTGCACCATCTTTTCCGTTATTGAGCGCACACCCATCGGTCCATACTACAAGCTTTGGGACCTCGGCATCATACTAAAAGAATATATGCACACATGTACACCTCAAATAAGCATAGATTCATAGATTTAGAAAAGTTGATCAAATTTACATACTGAGTTGTCGGAAACGTCTAAATATTTGAGATGTTTGAGGTGATATTTATGTTATATAAAAATAATGATGTCGATTGGAAAAAAGCAATTTAAATAGATGAAATTTTTTACAAAAAACTATTAAAGTAGAGGTCTGATCCTTTGAATATCCTTATAGCTATTCAGTGAATCTTCACGAGCTTTGGTCATCCGCGAATAGCACTGTACAGTATCCAGATTTTAAACGGATGAAGAGTATTCAACTACCCGATTCTGATTTTGATTGGCTGATTGATTACGGATAGTCACGTGGGCTTCGCTGAATGACTTCATCCTAGATTATCCGCGAATTTAGTATCTTTTAATTGAATGTTCGTTTTTTTTTAACCGTGAATATTCACGGATCCGACCTCTATATTAAAATCGTCGACTATTCTATGAATTGATGAAATTCACCTAATCCGGGTTCTTTTTCACTGTTACTAACGCCAGACATAAAAGCCTGAGCTTCTTTTAACGTAGGGAATTTTTCATACTTAGCATTAGGGTATTTATGAACTTGAACTCGACATTCTTCCCTAAAAAACCATTAAAATGAATGGTATAATAAAGTGGCAGGAATTAGGCTTGAATATATTAACAATTGTGAATATAGATAGCATAAAAGAATATTAACCAAGTTTTATAGATTCCTGGTTTATGACCAATACGAACTGCGTAATAGCCTAATTTCGTTTTAGGCATTTTTTTGTTTAGAATAATATCTCTTTTACGCAATACTCGTGAAATAGGGCTTGTCTGAAGTCGAGCTTGTTGTTTGGGACGTTTCAACTTTATACTATTACTAGAATTAAATATTTTTACGAAATTTCGTAACGATAAACGACCAGCCATAAGTTAATAATTAGGATCAAATTCTTGAATTAAACTAAGTCGATCAATTAAATAAATATTCGCAGAAACATACTTTGAAATATTCTTTGATCTTTTACAGAGCTAAATATGAAAAAATTTTTTTTTTGTACGTACCGGTACGTACGTACGTATCGGTACATCAGATAACAGATAACGGTAAACCGGATAAATCGGATCAACCGTGTGACAATTTCGATTTCAATCAATTTATCTTAAAATTCAAACTTCACACTTTAAACCTTAAAATAAATGGCAGGAACATTAGGCCCTCGTGGTTTTCCTCAACCAGGAAGAGGTTATATCTTTATGAGTAAATTGTTAGGAGGATCAATGTTATTCTGTACGTAAAATTGATCAATTATATTGCTAAATTATAACAAAGTTAATAAATTTCCTATATTTAATAGGGATACTGTATCGTGGAAAAAAGGATGGACCCGTAATTTTAGTATGTTTATTTTGAATTTATTTACCTTCAATGCATTCGATAAAATTAATTGTCACCATATTTCATTTAGGGTTTAAGACATCCTTGGGAACATCATGGACATCATGAAAACGAAACCCATCATTAAATAATATGCAAATTATTTAGCAGGTAAATACTTAACATTTTGTATCCGAAGCTAAATATTCAAATATCCGATGGTTAATTTTATTTATTTATTTTAGTTTCAAAGTCAGAAATCTTATCAGGCATAGGACATTTTCTTTGATTATTGTGCTTATTAGTAAAATAAGATAATAGATCTCAACTTTATACATAAAATATGTAAAAAAAAAAAAAAAAATCGGTTTTCAATTTTACTCATGAAGTTGAATTTTAAACTTTATATTTTATTGTTTTTTCTTGAAGGTTATATGAAGATTTTGATTTAAAGTTGATTAATTTTTTTATATTCTTTAAATCAAAAAATCTAATATATGATTAGTTAAAATGATCTTTTAAATTAAAAATTTGCTGCCGTACGGTGTAGGTTAAAATTTTGGCCCGAATTAAGCTTAGACTTAATTCGGGCCAAACCCTTAACCTGCGTTATTTTAAAATTATAAATATTTTAGAACAGGATGAAACCTGAGTTGCGAAATAGTGAAATCCGCGTTTAATTATGTTTTTTATTATATAAAAGCCTTGTGTGATGATCATAACTCAGGTTTCACCCCGTCGTAAAATTTTTTCTGCGTTTGCAGAACGGAATAGGTCTATAAAAGTTAAATTTTTGCCAGGATTAGGGTCTGCAATCATTATAATTCCGGCCAACATTAATTTTTAAATTTTTGGCTGAAATTTGGACCGTAATTCTGGCCGACCTTATATAATTCCGGCCAAATCGAAGAATTTATCTTTATCATGGACGGAATTGGCATTTTATCACTGCAGAAAATCATCATTTTTAAGTCAGACCTCTATAGTTACCCTCTATATAAGCATATTATACAAAAAATTTTTTTATAGATATAATTATTATTATTATTTTTTTTTTTATTACCTTTCACAATGTTGTGTGAAGGTGGATTTTTATTAGGTATTTTAGATAGTACATTATTGGTTAATGAGAATACATTCTAGCCA